GAATACACAATGATAGTCCTCGTTCTCAACCCCTATAATTGCCATGAAACGTCCTCCTACCCAGGGAAATCCTCGCTCAATGCATCAGAGCGCTGCTGACAGTTACCATGGTGCTAATATCCGCGTCCCCTTCTTAGCTACATGCTTAAGTGGCTTGGGGATCATGACGACTCGTCAGCCGTCGTTGTTAGAGGGCTTCATGCGAGGCATCCCATCGCCCATAGTCAAGTGATAATAAAGATGAATAGGCGGAGATTATCGCAGTGAAGCCGTCATAGAAATGAGCCGATTAGATTGTAAGCCGTATACGGTGGATGAATTAGGAAAGAGTTATGAGAAGGCTGAAGCCCGTAGGAAGAAAGTGGTGATGAATTTGCGCCACGCAGAAGCTCTTCTCAATTGTTATCTATACCTTTGCCTTTTCTTTTACCGGGACTGAAGGTATAGTTTGATAAGCCTTAACGGGAGCCGATCTTACAAAGAGATTTATGCAGGCCCTGCGCTTTCTAGTAGGCAAGGAATTCGTGATTAATTCCACCCGGCTGTTGCGCGTTTCTATTTGAAAAAAGGTTTTGATCCCGAGCTCATTTGTCATCCCAAGGACAAAACCGAAGGTGTATGCTGAAGTTGTAGAGTGGACAAAGGTCGGGAGAATGTTGATTAGGAGAAATCTAGTGTGATTGGAAGGTTGGAAAAGGTTTGGGAGCGTTATTCGGCTTGGGGGAAGGGAGGTTACGGTCATTTTGCACCTCCGCTAGTTTCTCTTACTAGTTCCTACATGTTTCACCTTGGTAAAACCTGTAGGCTCTTGTCAAGTGTGAACAAGGCTTCTGTTATTGCCCCGTCTCACACGATTCCACAGGTCTCCACAGGAGCCATGATCAGTGCTTGGTGGGAACCACTAAAATGTCCCCACCAAGCCGATCTGCGCTGAAGTTGGCTATTGCATCGCAAACTACCCAGAGAGATGAGTTCTTGTGCTCGAGCAGTCTTCTGATTTGCTCTCCCCTTTCTCGTCGAAAAGAAGGGCTGATCTAGAATCACGTGACAGCTAATCGATCTGCTCTTGTTGGGATGCGCCGTGCATTTCACTTCCATTCAGAACCGCAGTGAGATTATGAAGATGAACTGACATATACAAAAACTTGCAGCGGTTGGTCGGTGTAAGAGTTTATTCTTCTTTTATCCCCTACACCGACGATCTTCTTACCCGTTAACCGAACAAAGGTGTGGGTTTCGTGAGCCCGGGTAGGAGCCGATCTTCAGTCGATTTGAGCTATCGTAGAGGCGAGCGCCACTTGCCACTTAACCTCCTCCCTCTTTCGTCCCCTTCACTTTCCACTCCAGCTATTCCTACACTTTCCTAACGAACAGCTTTTTTTCTGAGTTTCTATGTGAAACTATAGGACGACATGGGAGGTAAGAATGGGTTACATGCCGCGAACGCATTTGTGCAAAGAAGGTGATGTGTGCCACATGACAAGTGCAATGTGCTGCAAGACACGTTCAACCTTACCCAGTCACGCTCATATCATATTCCCAATCGGGAACTAAACTGGCAACTATCCAAAAAGACGTTCGATTCAACCAGTAACACCTTAAGTTCCACCTGGTGGGAACTGGAACCCTCTATCGATGAATTTACGAAAAGTTCCCGAACTGCATAAAAACCATTTTAGCCGACATTTGGATGGATTAGCGCTATAAATCGGCCAACTCATAATGCTCCTGTAATGACAAAGTATACGGTGCGCTTAACCTAAAAAGGCGCAGACTGTTGGATTGAATAGGAACCAGTGGGAGTCCGGGGTAAATAGGTGGGAAGAGGATCGTGAACGGAAGTAACTTATGCATTGTATTCGTTAACAATGCCCCGGACATGAGAGATGAGATGGGTGAACACGGTATCCGCCGCTGGTTGTGTGGTGTGTGTTTGCACCGGACACACATAGCCTTGGTTATTTACACATTATCTAATTGATGTGAGTACGCGCGGGGGCCAGTTCAATGAGAGTGGCAGTGAATTCGCGCACGTACGCGTCGATTGCTATCCCTCATCGGGTGGCGCTGGAATTTGTCATTGGCCATCATGTTTGACCTTATGAGGGTATCGTGTTCATCCCAGGACCCAAAAGGACAAGTTCCGGCATTATTTACCCTTTACTGCCCATTCCTGGGTATTTGGGACCAGTGTTTTCCGGAACTGGCCACCTGAAGGAGGATCTGGTCTGGGAGGTCTCGCCTTGTTTCCAAAGCTGGTTCGATCTCCTGAACATGGATATGACATCCTTCTAGTGCGAAACTATTTAGCGCTTGAGCCACAGGTATCAGCGTCCCACACAAAGCGCGTTCTATTGTTGGGGAAAGATAACACCTTCATAAATGCCCCCTCCTACTCCCAACATTCCACCACTTTCCCGGCGAAGTTCTCCAGTTTTTTTCGAAGGGGTGTCCATCTTTGCCTTTGTGAAGGTACAGCCGCCAAGACGTCTGTGAGTAGGGCACGTCGTAGATTGGGAATGCCCAGGGAGGGGGGTCGTGTGCTCGCTGGGAGGGAGAACGCACT